GAAAGAGGTTGGGCATCCGCCCGCTCACCAATCCCATGGATAGCACAGCCTCCTAGGAACAGGGTTCTTGCACAGGCTTCTTGGCTGTTTGCAGAGAAATGCAGAGTTACCCCCGGACAGTCTGTCAGCATGGCAAGCAGAGATGACTGGCTGAAGACTAGATAGTAACAGTTCCAATGCAGAGAAGCTGATGCAATCCTGGTGTGACGATTGGTGTCACCGCTGTGATGGACTGGTATGCAGTATCCCAGAGTATTAGTTGGCAATCTGACTTTAGGAGAATGGCAGTTCCTGTTTGTTCAGCTTTGAATCCTGCACCAAGAGAGAGAGAGAGCCAGTTCCTTGCTGTAGAATATATCTGCTCTCCCAGCAAACTTCTTCTGCAGCTCTCTGGTAGTTGTAATCCAGTCGGCACTCAGGAACACAACATGTACTGGCTATAAGACTACAGATCCCTGGATCCTCAGCTGTACGAGAGCTGTATCCACCCTACTAACAGGAAGTGATGTAGCAGTCCCAGTACTGGGGATTAGAGGGAAAAAGGATTCATTGTAGACCCATTTGTGAGTGTCCTTAGGTGGCATATTGAAAAAAATGACACCTCAGTACCCTTCAAAGTTGGCATCTTGGGACCTCACACAGTTCTAGCACCTCTCCCACTGTTCAAAACACTCGGCAAAATCCTTTGTTGGAATCGCCATCAGCTATTTTCCTGAATCTCTTCCCTTTCAAAGGTGATTTTAGTTATGGGAAAAGCAAGAAGTTGAGGACCTTTCAGAACGTGGATCACTTTTGGCAGATTCTTGACCATCTTGGAAATGTTTGTGCCACACTTTTATTTGCGCTGTACTCATTGCATCATCGCCAAAAGCCTTCTGAATCATCCGAACAGTTTGCGCAGAGGAATGTTCAAGCTCAACACAAAATCTGATGCAGATTCATTGCTCTACTTGCTCAGTCATTTTGAATGTGATGATCACACAGTACACATGTTCAATCAACGGAATCTAGCGCCCTACTGACTAGTAGAGTGAAGTCGTCACTGAGCAGGCATTCACATTACAGTTCACTCTCCCTGTCTGCCAGGTTGCATAGACGGCACGCAAACTGTTCTTGTTATATTAACAATTGCTGGACTTTTCTGGACAGACCTCCAATACCTGTTTATCCTGTCAGAAATCATGTTTCTTTGTAACTTCCTATTCACTGAACTAAAATCTCAAAGTTACCAAGATTTTTTTTTCAGCTATCTTCTGTGAACTACAAAGAAACACCCCTCTATGTAATGACAATGAGGGGAGAGAGAGGTGTATGTAGTCAAATCAGGAGAGCAGCCTGGGGTAACTACACTGCTCCTCCATAGACATAGAGCAGTGAATGAGCACTATTTCCTAAGACAGACAGTGTTTTATTGGCTGGATCACCCGGTGAAGGAAAAAAAACTGAAAAAAAGAAAATAAACACAACCATCACATCTAAGGACTAGTGAACCCTAATTTATTATGTTTTTGCTTCTGGGTTTAGATAATGAGGTCACTCTGCAATGGAGCTTGCATACTGTATAAAGATAGAAAACCTGTGCCCCACTTCACCTTCATAGTATTGATCTGCAGCTGTTTCTCTATTGGGAACCACACTGATCAAATGAAACAGTGCCTATGCCGCCAACCTTCACAATGCCTGAACTGTGCCTGCATCTGATTGGACTAAGAATTTTCTGCATAGTGGAAGCGTACAGACAGGGCCAGCCCCTGATCAAATTTCGACCAATTCATCAAGAAATTCACTCTGTGTATGGCCAGGATTAGACTGCCTGGACTGCACTCAGGTCAAGATGTTGGCAGGTGTAGTTACTACTTCAGCCAGCAGGTAGAGCATTGCCGCCTCAGGGATGGAGTGGAGTCCTAAGGAGAATGATGTTCACCTGCAGCCTCTGTAGGTGTCACAAGGGAGAGCAAAGCATTTGCTCTGAGGAAGTGGACAGGGTCCCCGAAACGCATCAGTGGTTAACACCATCTTGTCTACAGTTGGAGGTGGAGAACGGTCCACATTGTGTGCTTATGCAATTACATGCCATTAGCTCACATGGTTTGTGAGTATAACCTTTGTCTCCTATTTTTGCAATAAATTGTTTGAAGGTAATGCGCTAGGTGTTTTGCGCCCTCTTCGTTGTCATATTTTTGTGCAGTGTTGGATTTCCCCAGTCTGAGGAGGGCTGCACCGCCATTTGTTTTCAGGCCTGGTTGTGAAAGGTCTATGTGATCACACCAAGAGCGTCTGTCCATCTCTAAGCGCCGAGTGTCAAGTTTAATTATTTCTTCACATTTAATTATTTCATCTATTTGGCACCCAAATAGTCCGTGGACATTATAAGATGGAGGTTTGGAGCAGCAGGATCTACTCTCTCCAAAGCTCTCACCCTCCAGGATGCCCTCCATGGTCCCAGTTAGTGGGAAGACCCCTGCTGGGAAGACTTCTGTGGGTAGGGTAGTCCCCAGCAAGGATGGAGACCCTGTCCCTCACCTCCATTACTACCCAAGCACTTTGTAGCTCCATAGAGAAGCCAGTAAACGCAGCAAGACTCCCCACTTCGCCCCTCCAGAAAGACTTTTTCTGCAAAGGTACCTTGTTGTCATTCTGCTCTCTCCTACACCACTTTCCTCTTCCTTCTCGATCTTTATTTCTTGCTTTTGCTCTCCCTCTACAATTTCCAGTGAAAAACACCTTCCTCACTCCACTATTTGTATGTTTTCTTTTTCCCATTTCTATGGGTTACAATTGCTATACTGGTGAGTAGTCAAAATCTAGATTCTGGGATTTAATCCACTAGGCCAAGGACCCTTTATTGCAAGGACCAGCTATAGCACACCTTGAGTTCTGAAGGATTAACGCTCCATAAATATCGCTGGTCCTTATGTTGTCTTCAGTTATGTTCGATATGCACTGCAACATCTGTTTTGTCTTCTCTTTTTTTTTTGAGGTTGTCTGTCAGTTGACTATGTATTGGGTCCACTCATATGAGAGAACCATAAGTTGCTTATTTATTTTACCCTTTAAAATTTTCAAATAAAAATACATTTCAACAAAAGAAAATCTAATGTTATTCCCAACACAAGAAGAGAAGTTTATCTCATGCTGCAAGGGATGTCCGTCTGGAAATGGTGTCTAGAGAGGGCAATATTATATTTGTAATAATGCTATCATTATACCTATTCTATCTAATTCTGCATCTCTGTCCGTATAAATTGACAGTTGGTTCACATGGTATTGTCATATACTCATCGTTTCCATATATAATGTTGTATCTTGCAAAAGTCCAAATAACAATTATGAGAAAAAATGGATGTATCATAAATTCAGCATATCAAATAAAATAAACATGTGTAATGCATCTGAACAAATTTCAGTTTAAAGGGCGATTAAACTGAAAATGAAATCCACAACCTGCTAGTGCAATGGCTGCTGTAAAAATGAACCACTCCCCTCCCTAAGGACAGCCATCGGTGATTTCAATTTCTGCCGTTATTAGAGCAAATACTGCCATGCCTCCTGGTCAAACAGCCTACATGATTCAAGATGGGAGAAGACTGAATGCATATGTTTTATGCACTTGTTTAGTTGATGGTTTTATTACTACAGTTCCATGTGCCAGACTTTTGCTGGAATTGGTGGTTTGATTTTTTTTTTGCCTATTACAGGCTGTGTGCTTCCTAAAGTCATAGGAAATGTGACTGTCAATTCAATAGTTCAATGCCAGGGTAGTACTCGGTTATCCTTGCAGAACCAATACTAACTTAGTGCTTCTTTAATGCCACATATTTGATTTTTTAATTATTAAAGTGTGTTTTTGTCCCTTAGTCCCAAATCTAGTTTTGTTGCAGTCTGTGTCCCCTGATTTACCCATACTTCCTATCCTGGTGACGCAACAGGATGTGAGGAAAAATCTACCGTACAAGGTCACAAGCAGGAATAATAAACCTGATGGAAGTTTTACCCCCCACCACCAACACCACCCTAATATAGTTAGTCTGGCTGAAAACAGACAGAAGTCCATCTAGTTCAATCATTAAAAAATTGCTCCTGCAGGGGAAAAATTTCCTTCCTGATCCCCTGAGAGGCAATCGGATATTCCCTGGATCAACTTTACCCATAAATGTTAGTACCCAGTTATATTCTGTGTATCCGAGATAGAATCCAGGCCTTTTTTAAAGCAATCCACTGAGCTGGCCAGAACCAATATTTGAGGGAGTCTATTCTACATTTTCACAGCTCTTACTGTGAAGAAACCTTTCCATATTTGGAGATTACATTTCTTTTCCTCCAGACATAAGGAGTGCCCCAGGTCCTCTGTGATGACCTCAGGGTAAATAGCTCTACACCGAGTTCACTATATGAACCACTGATGTATTTATACATGTTGATCATATCCCCCCTTAATCTCCTCTTCTCAAGAGAGAATAAATTCAGTTCCTCTCAATCTTTCCTCATAGCTGAGCTCCTCCATGCCTCTTATCAGTTTGGTTGCCCTTCTCTGTACTTTCTCCAGTTCCCCAATGTTCTTTTTGTGAATTGGTGCCCAAAATTGAACTGCATATTCCAGATGAGGTATTACTAATGATTTTTACAGGGGTAAAATGATATCTCTCTCTCTGGAATCTATACCTCTTTTAATACAAGAGAGGTTTTTGCTCACTTTAGAAACCGCAGCTTGTCATTGCATGCCAGTATTGACTACAAGCCTACAAGGCACTTATACCCCCTTCCTGCCTACAGGGCACTTATACCCCCTTCCTGCCCAGGCTAATTTCCAGCTTTCAGCGCTGTTGCACTTTGAATGACAAATGCGTGCGGTCATGCAACACTGTACCCATATGAAATTTTTATCATTTTGTGACAGAGCTTTATTTTGGTGGTATTTAATCACCTCTGGGTTTTTTATTTTTTTAGTTTTTTCTTAGTTTTTGTTATAACATTTTGTAAATAAGTGATTTTTTCTCCTTCACTGATGTGCGCTAATGAGGCTGCAGTTATGGCACTGATAGGCTGCACTGATGGACATTGATTGGTGGCACTGATGTGCACTGATGAGGAGGCACTGGCAGGTGGCACTGATGGGCATTGACAGGCATCACTGATGGGCACCGAAAGGCGGCACTGACTGGCACTGTTAGGCGGCACTGACGGGCACTGTTAGGCGGCACTGATACGCACTGATAGGCAGCACTGACTGGCACTGATTGGCAGCACTGATAGGTGGCACTGATTGGCATTGATAGGTGGCACTGACTGGCACTGATGGATGACACTGAAAGGCAGCTCAGATGGGCACTGATATGTGGCATTGATGTGCACTGGTGGGCACTGGCACTGATGAGCACTGACAGCTGGCACTGATGGATACTGACAGGTGGCACTGCTGGGGCTACACTGATCATTAGTGCTCTGATGATCAGTGTAGATGTCCCCTCCGCGGAATGCCGAATTACCGGCTCTCTTCTCGAGCTGTCAGCGCGACAGCTCGAGAGGAGAGAAATGCTGATAACCAGCATTTCCCTGTTTACATGTGATCAGCTGTGATTGGACACAGCTGATCACATGACTGGGCCGACATCTTCGGCTCTTTCTGTGGATTGGTGATCCGCTGTGTCCGAGCGACACAGCGCACCGCCGATCGCCGAGCTGCGTGCTTCGGGAGCCGCGCATGTGCAGTTAGAATGGGAGGACGTCATATGACGTCCTCCCAGAACGAAAGAACCATCTTGCGTCCGTCATATTACTATATGGCATGCGGGAGGTGGTTAAGCTTGTGATCTACCAGAACTCCCAGATCCTTCTCCACCATTGATTTCCCCAGTTGTACCCCCCCTAGTATGTATGATGCATGCATATTCTTAGCCCCCAAGTGCATAACCTTACATTTATCAACATTAAACCTCATTTGCCACATAGTTGCCCAATTAATCAGTGCATTGAGGTCAGCTTGTAAGTTGGAGACATCCTGTAAGGACGTTATCCCACTGCAAAGCTTGGTGTCATCTGCAAAGACTGAAGACATGTATCAGAATACATTTTGACCTACATTTATGAAGATATTAGATTTTTCGATTAGATATATTTTAAAACAGAAAGCAGAAAATCTAATTTTTTCATTTATATCGCAAAAAATAAAAAACCTAGTGTTGATCAAATACCACCAAAAGAAAGCTCTATTTGTGTAAAATGCTAAAATTTCATTTGGGTACAGTGTTGCATGACCGCACAACTGCCAGTTAAAATAGCGCGGTGCTGAATAGCAAAAAATGCCCTTGTCATGAAGAGGGTAAATACTTCCAGAGCTCAAGTGATTGAGGACTACATAAACTTCAAATTTACCTGATTTAAAAAAAGAAATATGATCTTTTCTATTAATTAGGAAGAATGTACAAAAACAGAAAACATTCCAATTAAAGTCAACTACACTCTACTGCCAGCACCCAGGGCTTTTCCACAATCTGCAAATATGAACAGCAGAACATTTGTACATTATGGCAGACTTGACTGCCAAAGAGCCTCACTCCAGTGATCTAATGTGCATTAGGATCTTGGCTCGATCTTCTTCCAGGTTTGATGTCTTCAGCCGTGGATGATATAAAAAAATGATTTTATTTGCATCTTGCAAAAATTATTTTTATATGTAATATATAGACCAAAATATAGCAAAACAAAAAAAAACTTTCTGCTACTTTAATCAGTTTTAGTCTTTATAAAATGTTACTGTAGATAAAAATGATAAATGTTATTCTATATCTTGTTCTATTTAAAATGGCAAAACATGTATGATTCAGCTACAAAGCATTACAAATGTGAAACTCAAAAATCAAAGTAAAACTATAGGCAACATTTTTTTTGTTAATTTTGGATAGAACAAGGGTGGGTTTAAATCCCTGTCAGATTTCTCCCATTGTGGAGATTTCCCTTCATTTCCTGTCCCATAGCCAAACAGGAAGTGAGAGGAAGTCCCTGAAATTTAAGGGAATTCCTTGGGGACTCACAGGTCACCAGAACTAGTGTCCCCATTGAAAGATTTCCCCTATATTACTTTTCTGGGGACAACCCAAATCTCCTTAACAGGGGCACAGACAGCAATAAAAACTGACAGGGGTTCTAATCTATCTCCACTCTATCCGAAACTAAAAAAAAAGTTTTGCCTTAAGTTATACTTTAACCACTTCAAGTCCAGACACTTTTACCCCCTTCCTGTCCAGGTCAATTTTCAGCTTTCAGTGCTATCACACTTTGAATGACAATTGCGCGGTCATGCAATGCTGTACCCATATGAATTTTTTAGCATTTTTTTGAGACAGATAAAACTTTTTTTTTGGTGGTATTTATTCACCACTAAGATTTTTATTTTTCTTTGCTATATAAATGAAATTGTCCAAAAATTTTGAAAAAAGTGTTTTATTATTAATCTTTCTTCATAAATCTTGGCCAAAATGTATTCAGTTATCTTTTTAGTAAAAAAAAATAACCCAAATTAGTTTATAACCAAAAATGATAATTTTTCAAACTTTTTTTTACATTTTTATATTATTATTTATGTTTTTTTTTTAACATACTGTCACCCTAGCAGTACACTTGAGGGGGTGATGAAGATTTTTTTTTTTTTTTTTTTTTTTTTTACACTGATTGCTTTTATACCCTCTAAAGGCTGTAAAAGCAATCATTTCTATTTCTCTCTGGCTGCATTCTTGCAGCCATTGAGAAATACTGTGAGAGCTGTGATTGGTCACAGCTTGTCACATGGTACAAGGCTGTTGTGAATAGCCTTGTACCATATGACCTCTGTGATCATTCACATCATTCATCTTGCTTACTACTATACTACTCACACAGAGGTCCCGTGCAACAATCCGAACACAGTGGGCACCGGATTACGGTGCCGTGTGCTCCCAGGGAGCACGCACAGGCTGTAAATGCGGGTGCCATTTATGAACGGCAACCCACTCCTGCACTGCTCCTGTCCTTCCCATGTACATAAATGTGGTTAAGGCAGGGGGTGTCAAACTCCATTTCATCGTGGGCTATATCAGCATTATGGTTGCCCTCAAAGGGCTGGTTGTGTCTGTAAGACTAGATGTCCAGAGCACCCCACCCCCCATTACATCAGATGTCAAGAATCCCACATCTTCCATAACATCACCATGCACCCCCTTTGGGGACAGAGCTGGAAAGCAGAAAGTGCAGGGTCTGGAGGAGAACCAGAGGAGGAGTGGAGTCAGTTACCAGAGTCTGCTGAATGCTGAGACCAGGGGAGGCAGAGATAAGAGGGTGCTGTAGTTGCACTGAAAGAATTTGGCAGAAGAGACAAGGTGGGAGCGGAGACAAGGGGTTACCTGCAGGAGAGGTGCAAGGGCCACATGAAATGGCCTGGAGGGCCGGATTTGGCCTGCGGATCTTGTGTTTGCCACCTGTGCTTTAAGGTTATGTGATGTGCTGTAATACTACTTTTAGGCTCCATGCACACGGGGCATTTTAATAACGCTGGTAATGTTAGCTGTGTAAAGTCACGTTAAAAACGTGCGTTTTTCAGTGTTTTTGTATTAGTGTTTAGCGGCGTTTCCTGCAGTTCTTCGCGTTTGCATTTTTTACAGTTTTTTTTTTAACCAAAAAATTTTTTTTTTTCTTGGTCAAAAAAAGTCCAAAAATGCTGGTTTGCTGCGTATTTCAGCATTAGAGTGTTTTTACAGCTACAAAGCTCCTCTAGAAACCCACTAGTTCTGGGGTTTTTTCCAGCCAAAAAATGCCCCTGAAAAAAAACGATGATTACAGTCTATGTGTGAATGGACACATAGGATAACATGCTGGGGGGTTTACTGGCTGTAGAAAAAAAACGTCAAAAGCCAAAAACAGCCGCTGTAAAAACGTCTAGTGTGCAGGAGGACTAAAAAGGTAACATCTGGGTTTGCAAAGGCATTTGGTGGATTTATATCATTTTAAGGCTATAGAGGAATATGTTTAAATGAAAGTTTGTGTTCAGAATTCAGCTTTACCAATACGTTTAGTCTGAGCACAAGTGCATTATAAAACTGATCTCCAGGCAAAAAGCTAAATACTTACACTGTATACACAAAGAGGGCTCTTTTACCTGCCAGGGAATTTGTATTTCTGTCTACCCAGCTCTGAGAGTGATACAGCTCTGCCACACAGCACAGCCCTGTCTGGCAGGGCAAGAGACCTGATTATTCTCTGCTACAGTTCAGTAACATTTACAGGTCTCCTCCCCACCCTGGGACTGGACAGTGAAGGTAAAAGCAGCAGACTAATTCGCTCTTTCCTCTGTTAGGCTGACCATACATGGATTGGTTATGTTGAACAAACAACAGGCTAGACACAAGCGAGGAAGATCGGGGAATGCTCCTGCTATCCTATTGTATTCTGAGGGCAGGGATTCCTCCGCTGTCAGAATACATTGATCAGCGCTGCAGCCAATTGGCTGCACATGCTAATCGAATTAAAGTTTTCCAACAGTCCTACATGAGAGAAGTTGACCAGGGAAATGAATCCGGTGCTTGTGGTCAGCATTACTCTGCTCCCTATTATCAGCAAATTCCTTGCACTACAGCACAACTGATTGACTACTTGTGCTGCTTTTCTATCCCCTAGTCATAGCTCTCCTGGGGGGACGTAAAAAGAGGTGACTAAGCCACAGTCCTCCCATTGGAATTGTAACATTACAGTCTGACATTAGCACCTCTTGAACACCAGCCAGGCATTGCTATACAATCCTATGAAAAGCAATTCACTGCAGATCCCTTTTCAGAGGATGGTAAGAGATAGTGCCAGTCTAAAAGATCCCTTAAAGTGTTACTAAACCCTGGACCCTGCATTTGCTCTATATGTTCCCCTACAGTACACAGAACATGGAGATGCAATTATTCTAGTAAATATAAACTGCTAAATACCATTTATCAGTGGTATATAGCAATATTGTGACTTCTATCAGTGTCCAGCAGAGCAGTGGTTAAAGCATGTAGGCGTTTTCCTCTGATTGTCCGATGAGGATGCAGAACCCCTGACCTTTGTTTGGACAGTGCTGATTGGCCCTGTGCTGATCACATGCACTCTCCCAAGAAAAAAAAAAACTCTCTAGCAATACACACCAAACTGAGCATGTGCAACTTGCCCCCAAGGCTCTGTTCTGTCAGCAGATGGATTGGGGACAGTAGAAGAAGGGGAGAATTAGATAAGGCAGGGTCAAACACTTTGTGGAGGATTAACCCCTTAGGTTCTACAGTGGAGTATAACAAGCATGCTTTACTGCATATACAGACTGATTTTACTGTTGTGGGTTTATTTAGTAACACTTTAAAGCAATAGTAAACCATTATAATAAAAAAGAAAAGGCACTGCCCATCAACCCAGTGCATTAGTATGTAGATGAATGTTGGCCTTAGCCAACACCACTCCAGCCACACCACTCTGACATGTTTCGCTCCCCAGAGCTCGATCACAGAGGTGGGCACTGGGTGAGACCACATTCATCTACATATAATGCACTGGGATGGTGAGCAGTTCCTTTCCTTCTCTTTGATAATGTTCTTACACCTCTGAATGGTGCACTGATGCCAGCTCATTTCACTGCAAAACCGGCGTGGAGATCT